CCCAAGTTCTTGCTCCTCTACCTTTTGTGTCCCTGGTTTCAACTTCTCATCACATTGCTGTCTCCTCTCTGGCTGCAGCTTCTCCTTAACTCCCTGCTCTCGTTCTTTTCTCGGTGTCACTCTTTCCACTTTGAAAACTCCATGTCCTCCCTTTCGTCTGACCCCTTCCTCTTGTTTCTGTCTGTTCTCTAGTATTTGTGCCTTTGCTCTTTTAAAAGTAAATAAAATCTGAAGTCGTTTTCTTGTTCTTTATCTTTAATGAAGTTACTTTTTTCTATCTCAAATTTTACTTCATTTTCTCTTTCGTTATCTTTATTTGCTGTGTGTGTGTGTGTGTGTGTGTGTGTGTGTGTGTGTGTATCTTCCTTCCTTACCTTTGTTGTGTTTGTCTTTTCTCAGTTTCCTTTCCTCTTGGCTGATCTCGAGGCTTTGCATTTTTACCTGTTTGTTTGTTTGTTTGTTTGTTTGTTTGTTTTTGTCCCCCCTCCTTTACTGTGTTCCCTGACTTCTTTAATCGTCTTTCCTCCTGCCAGCTCAAAGCCTCCCGTTGTCCTCTCTCCTGAAGACACTGCTGCTGAGCTCAGTCCCCGAGGTTGGAGTCTCAGAATGGTGGGTGGACTGACTTTGGGGAATGCTGGCCCTTCATCCCTGTCCCTGAGTCCCAGCTTCAAGGTTGGCGCCCACCCGGCCTAGAGCTCCTTTCTACCCACTGGGCCCAGGGCCTCACAGCAGGGGGCCGGCGGCCCCCCAGCCGGTGTAGACGCGGGCAGAAGGCTCACCTTCCATGTCCCTGGTGACTGTGCTGAAGTGCATCCCGGCTGGGGATCCTGGTAGCCGGCGAAGTTTCGCCCGGTCCGAGGGCCTGGGGCCCCGGTGGGCGGTGCCCTCCGAGGCCTCGGCTGCAACAAGAGAGGCGATGCTGAACGCGCTGGCCCGGGCAGACAGCGGGATCCGCGCGTCCATAGGCGCCCGGGCCTGACCGGCGCCGCCTCCGACTGCGTACGCCCAGCCGAACCTCGCCCAGCCCAGTGCAGGGGGCCCGGGGGCGGGGGCCTGTAGTGCCACTCACAGCCGTCGGTCCCAGGCCCAGGGGATTATGGCGTCATGAGACCCCCCATTTTCAGCCAGTATTGGCCCGGGAGTCCGAACTGTTGAAGCGCCATGGAAATTCAGGGCCCTCCTGCCTTCCAAGCTCTCTGTCCCTGGCCTCTGCTCCCAGGGCCCTGTGTGACCAACGCCCCTTGAACATCCCTCTGCTTCTGCGGAGTCTGGGCGTCCCCTCTATTCAGCGAAGCCACCACCAGAGTCTACAGCCCCAAAGGAGAAGCCGCTATGTCCCAGTCTGGGATGCCAGGGCACTGGTGAGGCACTGAGGGGCTGCCTGAGTCTAGCCCTGCCCTTGGCCCCACCTGCCTCCACCTCCTCCCCGGCGGCCCCTGCACCTGGGTAAGAGAGTGAGTGGCTCCCGCTCTCGCACAGGCCACGGGCAGATAGCCCTAGGGCTGAGGAGTCCTTCGTCCCTCCGTGCCGCAGAGCTGGACCTCACCAGCAAATGCCCCTACAGGCCCCTTGGGTCAGCTTGCTTTCGTGGTGGGGAAGCGAGTCGTGGGACGCCGCCCAGGCCGCACAGCCCAGGAGCCCCAGCGTCACGCGCACCCCGCGCACCGCCCGCCTCTGGCCAGGACGCTTTTACATCCGGAGGGTGGGCAGTGCCCGCTCCTCCGACCTCCCTGCGCACCAGCGGGGCGCAGGGAGGGCCGGGGGCGGGGCCGGGCCGGCCCAGGGGGGGGAGGACAGGTGGGGGGACCGCATGGTGGGGTGCTGTCCCCTCTCCACCCTGCAGCCAGCCTGCCCATAGCAAGGCCTAGCTGCTAAGGTGCAGGACCAGGCCCTCGGCCTTTGGGCCTCAAGGCATCACTACATCAATGCCCCTCTATTCCTGCACCTTCTCTACACCTACTATCTCTGGGGCCTCTCTGACCCATTCAGTATGCCCATGCCCTTTGTGCTCAGGATATGAATTCCAGAACCTCCCTGACTCTGCTGCCTATGAGTAGGCAAGGCCCAGGCCTTGTGCCGAGCTGACTCATATGGCGAGATGCAGACAGCCTTTCCTGGGGTGTTTACAATCTCAGGGCCTCCATCCCTGGGCCATAGCATACTAGGTGGAGACTTGAATTCTAGGAAGAATCAAGGCCAGGGGTGCAGGGAGTGAGCACCCAAGAGCTGTGTGAGATGGGTCCAGGTGGGGGTGGGGCTGTGTATAACTGGACTGGTATCCTCAGCCTGTTCTAGCCTGCAACTGAAAGCTTAAGGACAGCACATGTTAAGAAAGGGAGGCTGTCACCAGGTCATTCCTTGGTCCCTGAGTGGCTGGCCATTCAGGGGACTGATAGTGACAGTGACCTATGTCACTGGCCTGGGGGCAGATCTAAAGAGTGTACTGTGGAGACTAGGTGGACTTCAGTTTCTTTCCCTCTTCCCTGAGCAAGGATACCCGCAGAACCCCAGAAGGGACTGCCTCCATATAGCCCAGCCTTGGGCAGGTGGGTAGGTGCTCAGAGGTCACCATAGTGAAGCAGAAAAGTCGCAGCATCAAGATCTTTGTCCACACAGGCTCTGCGTGGAGATGTAGAGGCAGGGTTCTGACAGGTGATTTTGCATTAATGGGTAGTCCATCGTCCCAGGGTGGAGTAGCTGAGCTCTTCCCTAGGACCCCTTCCCAGGGCTGCAGTCAGACCCTGGGCCCCAAAGAGGCCAACACTGAGAAGTGAAAGTGAAAAACTCCTGGAACCTGTGATTAGTCTGGATCAGCCCTGGGGTCTGTCCTGATGCCCCCAGTCCTCACCTGCAGTGGTAGTGGGAAGTCTCCCTAGTCTCCATTAACCCCTTCCTGCTGTGGCCGTACTTGTGGGTCAGAAAACACTTCACAGCAAAGACACAGGCAGGATGCAAACAATCCCCTGTAGCAGAGGCTCGCTGGGAATGGGTGAGGGCCCCCACTTGGCCTTTTCTGTGTGTGGCCAACCGGCTCCACTCACAGCAGATACACACCCCTTTGGTCACCTGCATCCGTCCTCCCCAACTCTCCCTACAAAAGCCAGTACAGTAGGAAGTTGGAACCCCTAGGAAGACTGGCTTAAGAAACCCGAAACCCTGCAAGTCACAGTCCACCCGAACCTCCAGCTTGCAGTAGAGCAGCCGCCTTTACGGACCTCAGGACCGAGCTCTTAGGACCGCCCCCACCCGGGGCGCTGCCCCAAAACTGTAAGGTCAGTGCCTGTCGCCCAGTAACTGGCCTGCGCTCCCCTCCTCCCGTCGCTGCCTTACAAGCCGTTCCCTCCCGCATCGCGATGGAACTAACCCTTTCCGTAGCCTCACACCCCACGCGCGCACAGGTTCAGGAGCAAAGCAGAGCCTTACCCCCGGGAAGTGCTCCTCCCTCACCTGCACCGGCCGCCGCTCCCTTCCGCCTCGCTCCCCCTGCCGGCCGCGTTTCCACCGTGGCCGTAGGAGGCCTGGCTGCGAGCCCGCGATCTGCAGCACCACAGATCAAGGCTGCACGCAGGGGTCGTGAGCCGCACATCTTAATCCTGAGGGCGCAGTGCACGGCTGGGGCCTGGGCTGCACCCTTTGCTCTTCCACATGCCACGAAGAACGAGAAGAGCATTTCTCCAAGACTGAGGCAGGGGGTTGACATCCCTCATTGGACCGTCCCTGGCCCTAAAACTGAGGTTTAGCTTCGAGACTGACGGCTGGTAGGAAAGGAGTGGGGAGCAGACTTGAGACTGGAGGAGCGGAATGGGGCGGAGAAGCTGGGTAGCTGGGGTTTTTTTGCCTTGAACACTGGGCCCCGCGACAGGCCGTATGGGCGCCGGGATGCACCCCAGCACCGTCGCTGGACTCTGCCGCAACTCACACACCCCTTGGTCGGCCATCTGCAGGGTCGGAGGCGAAGTTAGCCGAATTCCTGAAGTTCCCAGTGTGCAGGAGACAGACAGACCCCTAGAGAATCCTGCGGGCCTGCTTCGCTGCGGCTCGCTCCGCCTCCCCTGGGCACACGTGGCTGCCCCAGGGGAGCGGGCAGACCAGCCCCCCACACCCACTAGCCCCACTCCTCACTCCCCGTGCACCGTAAAGACGCGGGCCTCGGAGCTTGACACAGGTCCCTGCGCACCTTGGCCGCTGGCGGCCTGACAGCCCACGGGTCTTAGGGCTTACCGGCTCCCCGAACGAAGTGCGCGGGTCCAGCGGGCTCCTGGCGTCGACTCCGGGCTACTTGGAGCAAACATGCACACAGGTGGACCCGCGCAGAGGTCGGGGCGCTGGGGTCCCCTCCTCCAGAAATCAGAACATGGAGGGCAGACTCGGGCTACGTCCCTCAAGGCGCTGAGGGAAGCTCGGAGAGAGGCCGGGCTTTACGTGACCCGGTTAATTCACTTCGGGATTGATAGCTGGGAATTGCCTCCAGCGCCTGCCTGGACGCGGCCTCAAG